AAAAGGCAGGACAGGGCACTAATGTGGGCAGCATCAGTCAGGATTCCTAACTTTAGTATATAACAGCTATTCCCTTCAACACAGCATAATAAAATAAAGAACTCTTAATCTTAGTGGTGTGTTTTTTTTCTTTTTTTTTTTTGCATTTTGAAACATCACTTTTGATTTCCTTTCAATTCATTATCAGAGATGGCAATCCTACCTTTGAATGGACACTTGACATGTGTGTATCCACACAGGTGTCCATTCCCAAAGTCCCTCTTAGAATTCTATGAGTCCACAGGTACTATTATACAACACTGATGGCATACATGAGTATGCTGGGTCCTATTTGCATTACAGATTATAAATGCTTAAGGGTGGAGCCTTCCTTTCCTCCCTCTCAAACTCCCTTTCCATAATCCTGGCCAATTCACTGATAAAGTTCCAAGTGCTGTGTAAATTCTTATGGACTGACTGCATAGACTGCAAGTCCCTACAAGGGAAGTAATCCCAGATCCGTTAGATCCATAGCTCATGCATTTAGTAATTTAATAAGCATTTTGAATGATCACTAATTCACAACATAATATTAGACAAGAGGCTTAAGGATTTTGTAGTGGCAGGCTCCTAAGGATATTTCCTTTACTTGAAACATTTTTGCTTGCTTGTTTAAATCAAGAAAATAAATTTCCTCAGAATACAGTTTCTTTAATTAAGATTTTAATGCTCATAATGAATGCGTTTCACACTCTTCCACAGAAAGCTTACCCTTAGTATAAAAAAAAATCAAACAAGAATGTTCTAATTAAAGTAAACTAAAGTCACTCTTTGATCTGATAATTAAAACAATAAATATTAAGAACGGTCAAGTACACAAAGACAGAAATGACAGACATTTCTACCTAGCTTCATAAATCTATCATGCTATGAAAAAGAAAAAAGCATGATCTTCTGTGCCAAGTATTTTATTTCATGCAGCACTAGACTTTCTAGTGTTCCAAGGCATATTCACAAAGAAGTAATTGCTTACTGTAAATGTTAAAGAAAACCAAGATTTGACCACCAGGCAGGAAATAATATCTGTCACTGAAACACCAACCTTTAAATGCAGATGGAATGAAGAAAGTATTTAGAAAAAGAAAGACATTTCAAATATAACATTACAAATGTTATTTTCTGTGATATACGAGACAGATAACATCTTGTGTTCTATGGAATTTAAGCTGAGCTACAATCTAAACCTGTCAAGGGCTTATCATAGCAGCCAGTAAGAGTTGTGCTTCAAATATAATTATAAAAAAAAAAATGTTGCCGGGCGGTGGTGATGCACACCTTTAATCCCAGCACTCTGGAGGCAGAGGAAGGCTGATCTCTCTGAGTTCGAGGCCGGGCTAGACCGACAGCCTCGAAAACAATACCAAGAAACCCTGTCTCATAAAAACCAAAAAAAAAAAAAATGTTGTTCTCATAAATTCTCAAGTACTGAGTCTTAAAGTATACCAAAACAGTCTAGTTTAATGAATGAACAAACACATAAATAAATAAATAAATGAATAAATAGATAACTCAGCAAACAAATCTGATAGAAATATGGATTTGTGATCACTATTTCACAGCAACTGAATCCAAAGTTCTATGCTATAACGACACGGTAGATTTGAAAAACTTGCTGCACAAATAGTTCCAAAAATGAAAACAGCGTCTTCACATCTTGCTATGTGAAATCTCCTAAGGAAGCGGGAATCTTATTGTTATGAAAGACTAGTGGAGAGTAGACCATGCTTTACTACTGATTGATGTTTTATGAGCACCCTACTGAAATACAATTCATATACACAAAACAACACACCTAGGCACGTGATCCATATTTTTAGTAAATTCCCAATGTTGTGCAACAACAATAATATTGATTTGGGAACATTTTATCAACATGAGAGTAACTTCAAATGACTCTGTAACTTTTACCTCATAGTACTGAGTGTGCATGAATATATTTCCCATTTCTGTAAATTTGGCAATTTGGGCTTTTAATGTTTTTATTTTAAAAATTATTTTTCATTTTACATACCATTCCCAGTTCCCCCTCTTACCACTTCTCCTGCCCTCCATTCCCCCCTCCTACACCCAACCACTCCTCATAGGGGTAAGGCCTTCTTTGGGTAGTCAACAAAGTCTGGTGTACCAAGTTGAGGCAGGACCAAATCCCCCCTCTCCCTATCAAGGCTGAGAAAGGTGTCCCACCACAGGGAATGGGTTCCACAAACCCAGTTCAGGGGCATTTAATTTTAGTTGAGTTGTAAGATGTTGTCTTTTGTGCCCGAATCCCCTCATTTAGACCACTATGTTCAAGGTTCATCAATTTTATAACATACCAGTGCATCATTCTTTCACTGAAATTGAATATTCTAAGGACGTTCATGTGAACACGTACTCTCAATTCTCTTGTGCTTGAGTCTTAGAGTAGAAATAGGACAAGTGACAACTCTGAGTGGTCTTCAAAGTTACACCACCACTGACATACTTATCGGCAGTGTATCCGAGCTGTAATTTTTTAACCATCCCCAACTCTCGTTCTCAACACAATTTGGTAAGTATCAAAGGGTATCTCATTGTCATTCAGACTTCCAGGTGGGTGAGCATTTTATCATGGGCATGTTCATGTTGGGTGTTTGCATACTTTCCATAGAAAATGACTATTCAGATCCTTTGTCTAGTTTTTTTTTAATTGGGTCACTTCTTGCTTTCATTGTTCTTCATATGTTCTAGGCATGTGTCCATCTCTGGCAGTTTGAATGAAATGGTCCCCTTTGCTCATAATTTAAATACTGGGTCTCCAGTTGGTAGAACTGCTTGGAAGGATTACTAGGTATGCCCTTCTTGGCGGAGCTGTATAACTGGGTATGGACTCTCAGGTTTCAAAGCCGACACCATTCCAGATCTCTCTCTCTCTGTCTCTCTCTCTCTCTCTCTGTCTCTCTCTCTCTCTCTCTCTGTCTGTCTGTCTCCCCCCCCCGTCTCCCCCCACCCCTCTCTCTCAGGATATGAGCTCTTAACTATCTTCGATCGCTCCAGTTCCATGTCTACCTGCCTGCCCCCACGCTTCCTGCCATCACTGTGATGAACTTCCCTTCTGAAACTGTGAGTCTCCAGTAAACTCTTTTTTCTCTAAATTGCCTGGATCACAGCAACAGAAAAGGAACTAAGACACTCTCACTAAGACACAAAGCTAGCAAATAATGCTTTCAATATGTGGGTTGTCTTTTCACTTTCTTAATAGTAACCTCTGAAATACAATGCACTTTTTGAATTCATTTTCCTTTAAAATGTTGTATTATGCTTTTAATTTTTGAGAACTTTACGTGTACATGAGTATACTATATTTATATCCTGATTCTTTTGTACTTTCGCCTACATGTACATATGGTTGGTCTGACCATCTGGGACTGTATAATCCATCAGGGAACTTGTTACTGGAGTAAAGTGATTGCCTCCACAGTGACAATTAATTGCTTATTTGATCATTAGATGTAGAGGACAAATGTCACAGTACACATGTGGAAGTCAGATGTCAACTGTGTTAAGTCATTTCTTTCCTGACATCATCCTTTTTATCCCTAAACAAACAAATCAGCCTCCCTAAAAACACCTTTGTTTGCTAAAAAAAGACTGTCTTGAATAAAAGTTGCTAAGTACAACTTTTATTATTGAGATACTGATTCTTAGACTATGGAATTAACATGTTTTAAGTTGTACTAAATTAATATAACATTGCAGAACTATGGTACAGAACCATGATTTGGTAGCAGTTAGGTGTAAAGTACTATTTGGAATAGGTAGTTGAATGGAAACAATAATGACTCTGAACGCCATGCCATTACCTGTATTAAGTAATCACTTCCATTGGATAGTCAGAAACACAAAGACACACAAAAGGAATAACATACAATGAGAAACAGACAGATGACATGATACAGGCATGCATGAGTAAAAAGGCATAAGTAACAGAGACCTCTCTTTGACAGTCCACCACAAGCAACATGCAGTATCAGGTTCTGATGCAAAGAACTCAGAGACCGAAACTTCCAAAGAGTCTAGCTGTGTGTATCTCAACTGAAGAGGAAGCACTGCTGCCTGCCCTCCTCCTCCTGCTGAGGCTGAAGGTCCCAACTGAGAGACAGAGCACAGGGTGTGAGGCAGTTCCCAGGGAAGTTTCTCTGAGACATGGTCCAGACTTATCCCCCAGAGCTCCTCTGAGAACCCTTGGGTAGAAAAAGTCTGAAAGGAAAATGCACTTGGACAGAAGAAGCTTAGTGGATATCCTTTAAGATTTTCAGAAGGAAGCCAGGCCAGGCGACTGGGATCTAACATAAGGGGTCATTGCCATGGTAAAGGTTGTGGCATTGGCCTGAGGGAAGTACAGTGTCCACTAGAGAGGGCTGAGAGTCAATACGTAATCATAAAGAAAAAAGAAGCCATGAATTTGAGAGGAAGTTAGCTTAGGAGAGGTATGAAGGTAAGAAAATAAAGGAGAGAAATAATGCAATTTTACTTTAATCTTTTAAAATTGAAAAGAAAAGAAAGCATGTACAGGGCTTGTATTTGAGCCAGATGGGGTCCCAGCACTGAGAGAGGTAAGTAGACAGAAGCTTCCATTCCTAACCAAGAAGCTATCTTCAACTGGCATCTGATCACAAAGGAAAAACAAACTTTCACCAACAGAATCTCACAGGGTATATTAATCACACTACTGTGTCCATCAGTAGAAGACTAACACAAAACGAACTCCATGGGACTTCTGTAGACATTTTGTCTCATATTGCTTTGTTTGGGATGTTTTTGTCTCATTGGTCATTTTTTTATATATTATAGTTTCTGCTTTTTTGTCTTTTATGGATTGTGTGTGTTGTGTTTTCCTATTCAGATTTGTTTGTTTACTTGTTTTTTTGGTGGGGTGTACGTAACTGGGTGCAAGTCATGTTAGTCAATAGCAAAGACAATTAAATGCTAGTTAAGATTACCTTTTTCCCAAAGATGACGAAAGCGTGTGCCCAAAGGCTGATTAAGAACCACGAGGCAGTATTTCAAATTTCCTAAAAGAAAAGAAAAAGGGTAAAACACACACAGAGATGAACTGAGCCCCCACCCATGATCTGGGTCTGAATCCTAAGCTCCATGGACTTAACGGGGACTGTGACAGCAGTTACTCTAGCACACCGTCCTTTTAAAAGAGATCATGTATTAACAGGACTTGCTTTGTTCAGAATGTATTAACAGGACTTGCTTTGTTCAGAATGTCTGTCTGTCTCTCATCATTTCAGGAATGTATCATGAACGCAGCTCACAGTAAAGGAAGATGAACTTTTATTGCAGGAGATAAGTGCTTTTAATATGAGTTCTCATCCTTAAGAAGATCCAGCAGTGACATGACACACTCCGCTAGCCCCTGCCTTTATGCTCTCCAGTCATTTTAGGAGCTGGTGTCACTCAGGGTGCTGGCGTCCGCTGTCACACTCGTCCCCGCTCACTCGTGTTACTATTTTTATTACATCCCACCTCACTTTGACCTTTCTAATGTAAAACCATGTGTGTTCTCACAAACCCTACCATGTCTTTATTCAAGTATTCTAGTTCACTCAAGTATTCAGATGATACTATACAAAGACACAGGCGATGTTATTTTCTGAACTTTTATAGAAGGAAAATAGGCAAAGGTCAAGAAGAAACAGGTTCCTGAAGCTGGGACGGGGCTCGAAAATGAGTCACTTCTAACTTCCTGTGATGAACTTTATACAGTACAAAGAAAATGCAATCAAGCTGTTGAGAATGCACCAGTTTTGCTCAAGAACTCCTCAATTGCAGAAATCAAATAATTGCTTAGTGATAAGAAAAACCATTTTGTGAGGCGTCTCACTATTAGAAACAGGAAAGATAAGGTAATGAAAAGAATATGTCATCATGTACAACAAACTTTATTACTAATTATACTACATGCACTGAGGGCTACAAAGAAGAGTAAATTTATAGGCTACATGTCCAATATAATGTTGCTAATATTCAGACTGTATATTCAACAATATAAGTATATGAGGAAGGCCAGATAACAGAGGCCATGAATTTGAAAGAAAGCATGGGAAGGCTTGAAGGGAGGAATAGGAAAGAGGGAATGATATAGTTATAATCTCAAAACAATTCAAGAAGCAATAGAGAAAGAAGTAGCATCTTAATAATGTAGGACATTAGCAAAAATATAAAATTCAAAAGTAACACTTGACATTTCATTGGAATAGAACTTAAGATCTGTACAGAATGTGTGTACGAGAATGAGTTGTAAAGTGCTTCCTGTATATCTGAGGAACGTACAAACAGACGAAGCTACAGACAGATGACCGGACTTGGAGAAAAGAACAAAGAATGAGGGAGAAACTATGTTTGCTCACTATTACAGGGAAGAAAAGGTCAACAAACAATTAGAGAAGAATATGTAAAATGAATAGCAGTTGCTTTCAAAGTAACAGAGTATAGGGGTTGACAACACTCAGTACCAGAGAGAGCAACAAATCAGCAGCAGCATGACCAAAGACCTGTCTGTGATTTCATGACTTCCCAAGCAATTCTGGGGAACAGAAGAGACGGGGTATAAGCAACGAGGATGGTGACAGTGCTTACTAGGTTAACTTTAGGAAGACAGCTTTGGTAAAAGTCAAGAATGTTTTCGTTATAATCACCTCACCTAAAAAAAATTCTGAGGGGGGCTTAGTGGTCAAGAGCATTTGCTGTCTTTGCAAAGGACCTGAATTCCGTTGCCAGCACCATCTAAGGTGACTGTGTGTGTGTGTGTGTGTGTGTGTGTGTGTGTGTGTGTGTGTGTGTGTGTGTGTGTGTGTGTGTGTTCTACCCTATAGGGATTTGTCTGTTTCTAGCCAAAGACATGTATACAGAACCTCGTTAATGCCCTTCTAAGAACTACCCATACAGTGGTGGAGGACCTTGACTTCTGCCTTTGTGTCCCTATCTGCCACTGAGGAGCAAAGGCTGATGAATTCATATGCTCAAAGTCCAGCAGCCGTGTCACTGTGGATCCTAAGAATAGGATGACATCACGAATCCCCTCTCCACATGTCATTGTCTACTGGAGCTCATTTCTATGACAAACAAAATAAACTTTCCAGCCCTTTCTAAGTCCTGGCCTTGACTCTAGAACACTGCAAGGGAAGCAAGAGTGAGTTCAGCAGCGAATACCACAAACAGAGGCTAGTCACAATTGTATGAAAATCAAATGTCTTCATCCTTTCTCCTTCCTTCCTCTTTTTACAAGTTGTCAAATCACCTCAGAGGAGCTTGTGAGACAAGAAAATCTCTAGCTCTTGTCTCTGACAAGGTCTACTTTGAAAAAGGAACTGATTGACACTGCTTTTGTTTATGTGTTACTGTCATTTTTAAATATTTTTTTAACTCAGGATTTTTGTGGCTCAAAAAACAATCTGGTAGGAAGGACAGACATTGTTGTTTTTCTAGAACAGTGGTTCTCAATCTTTCTTAATGCTTTGACCCTTTAATATGGTTCCTCATGTTGTGGTGATGTCCAACCACAAAATTATTTTTGTTATTATTTCACAACTGTAATTTTGGTACTGTCATGAATTTTAATGTAAATATCTGATAAGCAGACAGCCTTAGATGATCTCTGTGAAAGGGTCATGTGACACCCCCATGGGGGTTGTGACAGGTTAAGAACCATTGTTCTAGATCAACATTCTCATGGTAATAGCTGTAAGAATGTTTCATTTTTAAAAAGAATCCAGGACTGTAAAATGGTTTATCTATGATCTGCTAATGATGTCATTAATAACAAGGAATTACTTCAATTATTTCTACACAAAACATTCATGCAAGGTTGTACACAGCAGTAAGTTAGCTAGTTTCTTCAAATTTACTCCAGTTTTCTCATGGAATCTCATGGTCTCTCGCTTTCTAATCTTGTCTCCTCTGGAATCCTGACTAAATGAAGTTAGTATGACATTTACTTCACACTCAAAATCCTCATAATAACTGATCCACAGCAGACTGCAGAAAAAGAAGCATTCAAAACCAAGCAGACCCAAACAGTATATATAGGAGTATGTCCACATAGAAATCCCTACCTCAGTAGCTCCATGTTACACATATATTGAACCATGGACAATTCTCACCATTCATAGAGTTCAAAAGAATCAATTAAAATTGAGACAAAAAATTAACACTCTTATTCTAAGATTAAGTTATTACATAATGCTGTTCCTCAAATATACAAAAAGTTTTTATGATTTTTTATTTTTTATTATGAAAAACTTCTTTGTTATCTTATAAAGACACAATTTTTCATTTATCCATAAAAAACATGTAATATGCTCCACTTTAAGGAACAAAGAAAAACATAAATTTACCATTATTCTTCAAAGGATGATGACAAATTCCCAAACACTGATTTACAGAAACTACCATGCTATAAACTGCATGGCCACAAGTTTATGACATGAAAGTAAAGGTGAGGTCAAATCACCAGCCACGGGCTGAAAGAAGAGAGCTTTTGAACACCAAGGACTAGTGAGCTAGTGAACGTAAGTTCTTTGCTAAAGAAAGGAGAGCTCTGTCTTCTCTCTGCTGCACAGACGGGGCACTGCTCTGGAGGAACAGGTAACTCTGTGAGCAAGGAACAGCAGCCGTGATGGGCCCGACTACCGAGCAGTACCAGAAGTAAGTGATAGCTAAAAAGAACACAACAGACAACTGAAATAGCTTGCTCTGACCCAGTGGGCAAGCCTGGAACAATCTGAGCCACAAAAGACAATATTAAATCAAAGTACAAAATTAAACATTTATAAGATCATACTTACGGGGGGGGATTAATTAACAAAGTGGGAGAACCCTAATTGCAGAGTGTATATCTGTCTGCTACCCATATCAGCATCTATCATGAAATTACTGATTTTATTACCTATTCAGGAAGCAAAAGTAAGAGAACAAATAGCAAGTAGCAGACAGAAGCAGCAAATAGCAAAAGACCAGCAACGTGGGAACTTACAGCATCTGTCAGCAAACATTAGAGCCTCTGAGAGAGCACACACGAGCAGCAGAAGAATGACTATGAACGGGGAAGTGCTGCTGAGGCAGCCATGCTCAGGTTCCTAATGAGGGCTTTCCATGGAGAGCAAGGTGGTCTCTCCATGGATGAATTCTGTCTTGGCCTTATCAGGCCCACTGCAGGCATTTTAACAGTTTGCAACAGACAAGAGGTGCCCTGTTAGAAATGGTTTTCCTCTAGATTGCTGGTTAACCTATGGGTTGCCACCCCTTTGGGGTTGCATATTGGATATCCTGTACATCAGATATTTACATTACAATTCATAACAGTAGCAAAATTACAGCTGTAAGGTAGCAACGAAATAATTTTATAGTTGGTTTGGGGTCAGCACAACAGGAGGAACTATCTTCAAGGGTCACATCATTAGGAAGGTTGAGAACCACTGCTCTAGATCTTCTCCTCTATGGTTTCGATATCTTTGCCCTTACCTACTCGTTATTCTCAGTCTATCCATTAATGGTGGGATTATCTTGCCACCTGTGGAGTCCTAAGGAACCCTTCAAAGAAATCTTCCATAAGCAGGCCCTTTAAAACAAGGGCAAACAGCGTATGATAAATTACTAATATAATTTGTATCACACCCACCAACAACAGTTATATATCATACGGTATGACCATAGCCACAATATGTTAAAACAACATTCAGTCCAAAGCCCACAGAAACCCAATCCAACTGAGGAGGGAAATATCAGATACATTTCAACATTAGAGCAGCTTACAATACCCTTTTCCAGTAGTTGTCAAAACTGCCAAGGGTACCAAAGACAACGGGAGTCATGAATACTACCACAGATAAGATGAATCTTAGAGAATACGACAACTATATGTTATCCTGGATGGGTTCCTGGAGCAGAAAGACAATAGTAAGTAAATACTTTGGAAACTTGGTAAAGTGCAGAACAAATAATAATGCATATCTTTATTACATCAGCACTTGCTCATTAATGTTAACAAATATACCACATAAAG